AGGGGGTGTAATGGGTGACCGCACTATGAAAAGGGAAAATCCGATAAATATTAGCAAAAGGGAACACTTTTTACAAAAGTAAATACGATCCCTATGAGTGAATTTTACCCCACTCGCGCTCTCGTTGAGACTAGGAATCTCCAACGTACGACACTCACAAGTTTTCCTGATTGTAGTGTTAGGACGAAAATAGAGCGCAGCATAATCTCGCAGCGCGACTTGCCATACCGCGTGGCTCGCTGAGCTACGTTACCCCGGGTGATGTAGGAGAGCCAGGAAACTGTACCCCCCCCTACAATAAACTGTTTCTAAAGAAAATATCTCTGAATAATATTTGCTGAAAAAGCTAACCTAATAAAGAAAACAGAACGAAACACGCGGAAACAATGGAGAACACTTTGGCGGCAAATGATGATCGAGGGTTTTCCAGCATTCTATACAAATACAGTCGCGTTGGTCCCATCCATACTTTCTCGAATGACGAGGGAGGACAGGAACTATCATTGTGACTCTGAGCAGCTTTTCGTTTAGTTCTGAAGCTACCAGGTAATCGGGAAGATAAATAAAACTAACTATTTCGGCTCGTTTTTTGGCGGTATTGTTATTTTCTTCCAGCATACAACAAGGTGAGAGAAAGTGTATGGGAATACGCCAGTAGTCAAGCTCGTATCTCAACCTGATTGGGCAGATATCCATCGGCCGATGAAGTTTACCTGAAAAAACATCTGCCTAATAAACTTCACTGCATATCTGACACATAAAAAAGAGCGATGCTGTGCGGTTTGAGGGGAGGGGGTTCATTTTCGTTACTTTTTTGCTGGTTCATGATTACAAGCTCCATTCTGGTGAAACCTATGAGCACTTTTGAGGCTGCGTATTGGTGCAAGTAGCAGGGCACATCATGGGATCCCCGACAGGGGGTCGTATTTGGCCCCAACCAACGATGTGCCCTGAAAAGTAGGTCACTTTGGTTAGCCATGGCGGCCCGCATAAACTTCGCCGAGTGCCGCTTGGTGCCCCACCAAACCAAATCGCGCTAAAGTGCTGCAGTTCCGACTGTCTTCCTGTCTTTATTTATTTATTTATTTATTTATTCAATGCACGCAGAGGTGCGCCTTATAGTGCGCCTTATATCACTTGAGTTGTAACGAATCGAAGCGAGCTACAATCTTACCTAACACTAACTTGTGGTAACATACAATAACTAAAATAGGAATAAAGGTCCCCAGTCAGATCCTGGCCAGAAGAAATGAAGAGTTTGTGACAAAGCCAGTCCTTCACC